GGTAAAATCCTTCATTGGGGTCCCCTGAGATCTGTCTAATATTGTAAAAAAAAATAATGAAAAATGTTGAATTAAAAACTTTCATGACTCAAGGTAAATATAATAAATGCAATAAATATTTGACAGTTTGCAAAGTAAAAAACCAGCATGATTGACGAAACCCTATACTCAAGAAAGAAATTAAAAATTCACAAATTATCATGAAGAAAGAGAAGCATATCTACCTTTTCAGGTTGAAGATTACTTCTTCTTTCTTCAAGAATTCTCGTAGTGGAAAAATTCCGCTCACAGCTTGCACTTGAAGCATAGAATATCGCTTTGATGAGCCGCCCACCACTCTAACAAATTATCCACCTTAAATGTTTCATCTATTTTTTTATTTATGTAATTATAATATTCATCATCGGGTATTGACATATTATCAGAATTACCATCGCCCCATTTGTCATAAAACGATTCAGTTTGTTTAACAACAGTCGTAATTTGACTGGTCGATGGTATTTCATTTACTTCCTGAGCCTCTTGTAATTTAATATAATCTTTTATATAGTTTTCCGTATTCTTGCGATCTGTCCCTGACTACATACGTAATTCCTTGAATTTGGGACGGAGAAAAAGAGAAATAAAATGATACATGTGTAAAACAAATTTTTCAATTAAAAAATGCTTTATATTAAGTAAAATCAATTTTATTTCTCCTTTTTCGCTTTGAAAGGTATTACAAACTTCAAGAAGTGATATTCCTTTATTTGATTGTTTTGGTAAAATATATTCTAAAAATTTAGATATGAATTATAAAAAAATATATTAATACTTGAATATTGGGGCTTATTTAAGATATTCCTTTATTTGATTGTTTTGGTAAAATATGTTCTAAATATTTAGATATGAATTATATAAAAATATATTAATACTTTGAATAAATTTGCAGGAAATTAATAATTAGATCGATCTGTGGGTGTAAGGTAGTGTTAACCATCACCCAATATTATATTAATCATAACTATAATATAATATAATCTTATAACCATTAACTCATAATGTAAATCTTAGGCCCGGCCCGGATATTTAAAAAAAAAATTTTTTAGGCCCGGCCCGGATATGTTTTAAAAAAAATTTTTTAGGCCCTTCCCGGCCCGGGTATATTTAAAAAATTTAAAATACGGCCGGGCCGGGCTTAGGGCCGGGCCTGCAGGTCTCTGATTATTATCTTTTACCTTATTTTTATTTATACTTTCTTTCATTTGATCCAATTGATTTTTTAACGTAACTCCTCCAAATGTCTTTATTTTACTATCATATAGTCATACTACAGGACAATCCCGCGCATAATGTTTAATATTTCTACATCGAAAACAAGTTATTACTTGAGCATTATTTCCTTCATTTTCCGTTTCTTTGGGTATTACATTATTATATTCATTTTTAATATTCGTTCCTGATAACCCATTTTTAATAAGTGGAAACGCAACTGATGGAAACACATTGATACCTGTTTGTTCTCTTCTGAAACATTTATCCGAAGTATGTCCTGTTCTTCCACAATTTGAACATGACCTTACCCTTTGTATATTTTCTTCTATTTTAAAAGCTGAAATATAACATTTTTCCGTATTGTGACCCGTATTTCCACAAACAATTGGTAGAGCTTCCTGCATAATTCTTTCATTACAATCTCGACTTATATGACCATATTTTCAGCAAATAAAACATGGTCCATTTGGCCCCCTTATTATCTGTCGATTTCTGCATCTTCTCTTTGATAAATATTTTCTCTTTTATTATCTTCAATATATGCAGATTCATTTTTCTTTTTTTTTATTTGCTCCTCCATGTCTTTTATTTTTATTCTCATTTTTTCTACTTCCAATTTAAAAATTTTCTTCCTTTTTTTTGCCTCAACTTTCTCCATTTCTTCTTTCTTTTTATTTTCTATTTCTTCTTCTTCCCTTTTTTTACGTTCAATATCTTCCTTATTTCCTCAATTTCCTATCTTTTCATTTCTTCCTTTTCTTTTTCATTTCTTACTATTTCCAATTTAATTTTTCCAATTCATTTATTACTTCTTTAATTCCCCTTTCCTCTATTTAAAATTTTTCTATTTCATTATTATTTATTTCCATTTTACTTGTTTCGATCCCTTTATTTTTTTCTTCTCCTATTTTTCTTTTAATTTATCCATTTCCCACATTAATTTTTCAAATTTATTTTCTTCTACAGTATCTCTAACGATATTAATTTCTTTTTAAATATAGCTAGTGATATTTACTTTCCATATTTCTATTATTTCACCTTTAAATTTAAATATATCATCAATAATATTTTCCCTTTCATCAATTTTTTCATTTATAATCTTTTTCTTTAATATACTCTTTAATTTCTTCTCCACATAAATTAATCCAATAAATACAATTAAAATTACATAAAAATAATTATTACTGCATTCCACATATTTAAACGTCTTAAATATATTATATCATCATTTGGTCTGCAATACTATCAATAGATATACAAGTATAGGGACTGAAATAGACAAAATTTTATTTTAAAATATCCTTTATAAAAAAGGTAAATACTTATTCAATTTTTTTTAAAAATATGCCAGTATATATTTTTTAGACCCGATCGCTTTAACTGTCATTAGTAAATTTGTTACGAGTTAGGTATTTTGAACCCAGGTTCGGCGCAGAGCCATGCAAATTAAAAAAATTGATTATTAAGCAAATATGAATTTTTTTAAATATTATCCACTTAATTTTCTTTTTATTAAATGAAAAATATTTTACAATTTTATTTTTCAAATATTTATTTCATCAGATATAATTTATCAACAAATAGTCATCTTAAAAAATGTTTTGTCAACTTTATTTAGAATATAGGATATTTTGAATTTTCTTTATCACTCATTATTTTTCAAACATTAATCGTATCGTAGATGTAAAAATATCATATTTAAATTTATCAACAAATAGTTATGTATAATGCATGTTTCTATGAAAATAGTAAAACGTTATAAGCGGGAAAGTTTTTTTTGTTAGTTTAATAAAGGCACCATATTATTTTATAAGTGTTAAAATGATATAGGAGGATTGAATCCTCTAAAACTAGAGCTCTAAATGAGTACTATTCTAACAAACTTGGGTCGGTCGAACTTTGATTAAAAGTTTTAATTCAGGCCGGACTTGGACTTATTTAAAATTTAAACTATTTTGTTTTCCTAATGTTTTTAGCAATATTTTTCTCGAGAATAACAATCATTTTTTTATATAATTTTTCAGCTTTCCTTAAAATATCGATCTTTTAACAATTCAAAATCGTTCTTTAATTTTCCTCTTCAAATCAAACTCGGTTCCTTGTAAAGAAAATTTGGATATTGGATAGGTTGGTAAGTTTTATCGAAAGGGATAAGCGGCTTAGTAAAAACATAAAATTATTTCAGTTATAAGATATGGAAACCAGGAATTCCAAACGATAAAATGGATGGGAACGTTAAATCTAAGTTTCATTGAGTTACAAAATTATCATACTTATGTATAAAAAAGTGGAAGAAATAATTAGGTAAAATTAAATAAGTTACTACAAATAGAGAATAGGAAAAAATTATCTATTAATTAATTTGTACACTATTGTAATCTATATGATGGGTGCAGTAAAGGGTTTCTTAAACGATGGTTATAAAATTTTATCTACAATTCAGATAATTATTCAGATGGACATCTATATATAAAATTAAATGTTATTTACACTTTTTTTAAATTTTAAATTTTTATAAAAAATTTTATTACTTACCGATCAAAATTTCTACCTGAAAGTCAATGATAAATTCTAAATTAGCCCCAATTTTTTAAAATATCGGTAAGCTCCTTTTTGTGGCCTTCTATAGGCTTCAATAACGGTTTAAGAGATTATAATTTAGCTTTCATAATTTTTTTATTAGCAAATAAAATTACCATTTATCCCATTTTGTACAAATTGTTTGAATCTTTCTAAAACTATTTTAAATACTTTTAATTTAATGTTCCTCATAATCAAAATTCAAAACGATATCATGTAGCTAGCAAGTTTATAAGATCATCTATGACAAATTGGTATTAAATAAATGTATAAAGCTTTTGTGATATCTCATTTATATACTTTTTAAACGTCTTAAAAAAATATAAAAAAATAACAAATGTTCTATAACATCGAATGCGAAATGCAGCCTTGAAGTGAACGGCTAATTTTTATTAATACATAAATATTAGCTTTTAATTTTTGGCATAATTCATATTCGATTGATTACATATATCAGTAAGTTATTAACCCTATTTTTAATTGTATCAATAATCATAAAAATTAGTGAGCACTTAAGTATTAATTAAATGGAATATAATTCAAATATAAGCATGCACCATTGAATGTAAGCAATGATACCATATTGTATAAATTATAGATTTTTTTCTCCCCAAATCATGATCACCCTATAAAGGTTGCTATTTATGGCGCTGTTTGCAGAGATCGTAACCTTTGTGATTTTGAGTTCCGGCACTGATTTTTTTTAAACTTTTTGATAAAAATTAAACAATATTATCCATATAAAAATAAATGTTAAACTATTTTTTATAAATAAAATTTTATTTGAAGTTTTAAAATTCATATAAAATCGTTATGATAAATTTTTAAAAATTTTCAGAATTATATTTTGGACATGTTTTATTTTTGTAATGAAAATAGCATATTTCTTCTTTATAATAAAGTTTCAAATATTTGCGAGAATTTTTTAATATTTTGGACACAGTCTAAAGTATTTTCAAATATATTCTTAGCTAGCGAAGATAAAATTTAGGAACCCCAAAACGATTTTTTTAGTTTTGGGTATTTTATATTTACCCGGTTCTTCAAGATTCCGATCTCTGGCTAAACGGAATGGTTTTAATTAATTAATTGGATTAAGAGTCCTGTATTATATATATTAAAAAAAATGTGTAGAATATTATATAATCTTTTAATGTATTAGAGAAATGAATGAGATGATTGAAGAAACTATTGATACATTGGAGGAAAATTATACAGAAAAGGTTTAAAAATATATTAACAATATTCAAAGGCTTTATAAATTCTATGTTATAAGATAAACAACAATAAAGATGCAAGTTTCGCTTCATTATTCAATAACCCTGAACTCAGTGATTTAGTAATTTGCGTGAATTCTAAAAATACCTATCATTCACACCGTTTGGTTTTAGCATCTAGAAGTGAAGTGTTTAAAGCTATGCTCTCTGATAAATGGAATCAAAAAGATACAAAAAATTTCGAATTGGAAGAGACCGTGGAAGCTCAGGAGAATTTTCACGATTTTTTGTATTATATATATAGCGGTGTAGTGAATTTGCAATTGACAAATGTGGCAGGGTTATACACATTAGCTGATAAATATAATATTCAATGTCTAAGATCCTCAACTATGCAATATATGTCTGACCATATAGCCACAAACAGCAGAGCGAATCAAACTTTAAACTGGCTGCTCTGGGCTCAAGAATGCAGAAATGCCGAATTTGAAAAAAAATGTTATAATTTTATAATTAATAACTTTGGTGTCGTAGTTAACTCATGCCAATGGTTAGAAATTGATATCAATAATTTAATAAATATATTGAAATCGTCGGATTTAGTTGTACAGGAGGAAATTGAAGTATTTGAAGCTGTCGAAAAATGGTTGTTAAATAAAGAAAAAGAATGCTTAGGATTTTTATTAAAATCCCTAATTCCATTTCTGAGGTTGACACAAATTTGGCCTATACAATTGAGCCATCTAGAACAACATTCAGAAATATTTCAAAGATATAAAAAACTAATGATGCCAGAATTATTAGATGCTTATAGATACCAATCATTACCTCTAGAGAATAGATTATCTTTACTAACATTTCAATCATCTAGTATGATTATCACACTGAGTAATAATGTGAGCGAAACGGAATCGGATATATTGTCCACCGATGAAGTTGAAGCGAATGATTTTTTGGTCGGTAATTTAGCATTTAATGAGATGAAATACAAAATGAGAACTTATATTAATAAAAATTTTTGTTTTTCGTTGGAGTTAAAACAAGAAGGTGATCATTATGGCCCACTTACATTTGCTACTTCCAAAAGTTCCTCTTTTTTGGATCAAGCTTTATGGCATTGGAATCTAAAATTATATTACAATCCTAATAACACTAACAACAATAAATTAAAAATATCGGTATCGGATGTGTATAACAAACAAGGTATTCTTTCAAAATAACATCGCATTTTTTAAGGCCTTTTTAATTTAAGCTTAAGGCATATTATATAACAAAAACAAGATAACTAACTCTCTGTTCTTTTAATTTTTATATTCGTGATTTATTCTTTTTTTTATAAGAAATAATTTTGCAGGCAGGGTAAAATATGAATTTATTAATTAGGGAAGTGTTTTGGTGATAATTTTATTTGAATTCTTAAAGGATATTTGTGGAATTCGTCGATAAATTCAACTGTTTGCAATTCAAGTTCTTCGTATGGATCTCTCAATACAACATCTCCTAATCTTCAAAATTCCAAGCGCAATGTGCAAATAGCATTTTTAATTGGTCACAAAAAGCGCGATGGCTTTTATTACAAGCAATATAAATACATGCACGATTTTACGGAGTGTGAAAGTTTTGAACTATTAGATTTCTACAAAGATTGGAATCTTTCTTCCTGCAATCAAAGGATAAAATTAGTTATAGTCGTGAAACCAACCACAGAAATATGATACAAATTCTAATTGAATTTTATATTAAAAAATACTGCAATAATAAATGGAATGATAAATTTATTAATGCATTATGAATATAATAATTTATTTTTTAGATAAAATTTAATTTGGAATCGATAAAAATATTTATTTATAGTCACATTTGATTATTGACTGTTGCGATTTAGTATAATATAGTTTATTATTAAAAAATAAAATAAATACATTCATTTCACAATTTTACCTGAATTTGAATTCAAAAAAAAAGTTTAAAAAAGTATAATAACCCGTATATTTAATAATATACAATTCAATTTAAAAATTTACGAATGTTCAAAAGATTAAATAAAAATTTCTAAAAGTTACAATTTTTAAGTATAAATCTGTTACTATAATAAAACTTTCACCGGTTTTACTATACATCAATTACTTTAAAAAATATTTGATCAAAGATACATATAGATATACTAAATCAAAATAATTCGTGAATTGTTTGTTAAAAAAAAGGAAGAGTGAGAAAAATATAAATAAAATTGAGCTTTTTATATTTTGACTTTTTAAATTTTCATAATACAAATTTTTCAATGTCGAAACATTATAAATTTTAATAAACAATAGTGCTCCTAATATGTTCAGCAATTTACACAAAATAATTAAGATACCTTGTTAACAAAAATAAAGCTACTAGTTTAAAAAAGGAGCTGGAAAACAAGATAGAAAATGATCCGGAGCAGAACTTTTCGTTGAAATCCAGCTTAGGCAAAGGACAAGTCTGAGTGTATGTGATTGGATTCTTTTCGTTGATTTTATTTGAACTAAATGTTTTGGCATAACTATAATCTTTGCATAAGGAAAATTCCTTTTTTTTCTCGTTCGATGTATTGAAACTATAAAAATATTTAAATATAATATATATGATATTTAAATTTAATATAGATTTGTAGATCCATTTCTGCCAAATAATTTTTGTTTTTAAAACGTAATTTCGATACCGTTAAAATGTATAAAATTATCTAAAATATAAAGTAATTTGTTAGATTTTATGCGTTTAACTAGGTCTAAAACGATTATTTTTTATTCGAAATTCGATTCGATTCGTATTTAACGAATACGAATAGCACAAATATCAAAATTTTGAATCGAATATAAATAATGAGGAAAAATATTTGTCAAATAGTAAACTTTTTATTATTCGATTCGAATTATTTGTATTATTCATTTGAAATTATTTGAATTATTCGATTATTTATTTATAAATATCCGAAATATTTCGTAAATATTTTATTTTTTCGTTAAATGTAAGTAGAAGTAATTAAATTTTCCTAGTGGATATCATTTCGTTTTACTTTATTTTATTTCCTATATATTCATAAATCAAATCATAAGTTATATTTTCTGATAAGAAGTTTAATGGAAAAAGTAAAATAATAAATATAATTATTTTATTTTGATGTTTAGATTTAAAAATTCCAGATAAATAAAGAAATCCCAATAATGCCTTGAATTCTGTTACATCAACTCATATTCTCAGTATAGTTTTTACTTATAATTTTGATTTTTCATTGGTATGATAAATAATCTCTTCAATCATTTTTGGTGTTATGAACAAGTCATAACATTTTTCTGGAGTGTCTGCTTCTTTCCAATATTCTTTATTCCTGACAGATGAATAACTAAATTAAATTGCATGGGGATCGTTTTCCCATGTTGTCGAAAATGGTAACTGATATATTGTTCATTCAGGGATCTTCGGCATCATGTGAGCAGTTATTCTCAATAGGGAAAAATATGATAATGAAGAAATTAATGTCTTCGAAGAAAGAAACCATTAGAAAAACTTTATGCTAGAACTGGTTATTGTCAAAGATCTAGCATAATTATATTTTTATGTTTATAAAATGAGATTTTTATATTTTTAGAAAATTTTAATATTACATTGAAGAAATAATTTAGATATTTTTATAAGCAATTCTTATTCTAAAATTGGATGTTTTTGGCCAATTTGCTTGGATAACGTTATATGAAATTATTGGGTTTTATTTCGTTTATTTTCTATAAATTTTGATATGCTAATGACAATTAGTTTAGAGAATCCTTAAAAGCATCATTTTAAAACATCCACATCTGTTTATAATTTTTTTTGCTAAAAATTTACTTTTTATAATCTTTAGAAAAAATTTTGAATCGAGTCAAATAATGATTTTATTATTTATATGAATATGAATAATAAATTATTCGATTCGTTTTTTGTAGGCCTACGTTTAACAGTTGAAAATGAACTCCCAGATGAAGATAGGCGTATAATAAATAATATTAGGTTTATTATGTCAATAATTTTAATAGGTCTATAGATTAGCATTATCAAATCCATTTTTTTAGATTAATAATGTAATTTTGTAAACATATTGGTTTTGATAAATTAGACTAGAGTATAACGTGTTAATTCTTTTACGCGATTATGTATAAATAAAATAGTAGAATGAAATTATCGTCCTTTTGTAAAATAAGACTTGAAATAGTTGTTAGAATTAGAATTGATTTAAATGTTATATCTTATAATTTGTTTTATTGTATTTTTTTCCCATTATTATTAACAACGTTTATTAAAAACGAATTTAGAACAAAGATGATTATAAAAAATATTTCAAAAATAAATACAGTGCATAAAAACCATAAAATTAGACCATAAAAAAGTGAGATTATTTTTATTGCATATATATAGAACCATGAATATCATTGCAATTGCTTTGATGAATGGCCATCGCAATGGCCTGCTTTCGATAGAAGGCTTCATTACGATCGTTATCTATTTCGCTTAACTTTCTACCTAACAATGTGATTAATTTTAGGAATTATTCACCCGCAATTTATTTATTATTAAATGTGAAATCCTAAGCAGATGTCCAAGGAAAGTTATTTTTTAATATAAAAATATCCTTTGATAAGAGAATATTCATTGTTATTGAAGAAGTTGAAAGTTTCAAAGTCCAAAGATTAAAGGATTTGCAAATGCTTTTGTTCAAAATTTAAAACTAAATCAGTTTTGGCATGATTTTAAATAATTAAAGTGGTTTGCATGAGTACGCTATTTGTTTATCAGGGTTGTGCATTTGACCGGTCAAATAGGATTCATGAATATATCACTTCCAAAATTCGCTGCAAAATAAATTTGTGGCAATCAACATTCGTAAAAAAAAGTAATATCATAAAAAATAATGGAATAATTTAGTTATAAATATCCTTAAACAAAATTTAAAATGTTTTTCCAACCTGGTAAAAACATTAAATTTCATTACCTGAAAAATATATAATGACATCAAGATGAATCTAAAAGCATTAAAATTAATTTGAGAAACAAAACAATTTAATAAAAAGGAAACAGATGTTTATTATGTAAGCCATAAATTGTTTTCAAATTTATTTATATTTGATTTTTTTTTAAATTATTTAAAAATGCTAGATTTACTGATATTTATAATCATATACTCTAAATTTTTAAATAAATATTCAACTATGCAGAGTACCACTCTAAATTTCCTATTTAAAACATTTTTGATTAAATTTTGTATATAGATATAGATAATAAAATTAGATTTTAAAATCAAAGAAGATATCTCCCGTTGCCTTCCATTAAATTAAAATGGTGGCAGCGTCGTTCCAAAGAGCCAGATATATGATTATTTTTTTAACACCGTCCAACTATCAGATTTATAAAAAATATACCATACATACATCAAACAATTACGTTCACGTTGCTTATTATGACGATATTGAAGGTGGCAAGAAGTTTAAGACTCAATAAACGGTCAACAAGCTGAAGATGATGAAGGAAACAAATTTATTATAAATGCTAAAAGATATGAAAAATTTTAATCATTATAGAACAATTATTGTAAATTATATAAATTAAATAAAGGTAACAATAAAATATTTTATAAATTTATCATGAAAAAATCGTTATCAAATGTAAAGAGTAATGTAGAATATCCTACATTCAACAACAATATAGATACATACATTAAAAAGTTTGAAAATTTATTAAAGGACACGCAGGTTCCCGAGGCAGAAAAGGCTAATGCGTTCATTCAAAGATTACCAGAAGAAGACTATTTGGACCTGGAATCCATTTGCGTTCCAGAAAACTTTACTGGAAAAATACATGCTAATACATCCCGATAAATCAATAGACACGTACAAAACGGAATTTAACCCAGCCGTTCAAAATAAAGGGGAAACATTCGGTAAATGGGTATGTAGATATGTAAGTTGAATAATAAATGCAATTTTAAGGATCATGAGAGAATAATTGAGAAGATAAAAATATCGTCAAGTAATAAAAAAATTCGGGAGCAGATATCGAAATTAGAAAATATAACTATTACAGTCATATTAAGAATTGGGAGAGAGATAAATGATGGGGATGATTATGAAAATATAAATATTAAAATGGATAATATAAAAATAGAAGGCGAAGCAGCATCAACTTCGACGATAAAATTAGTACAAGAAGAAAAAGATGAAAAGAGAGAATCAAATAAACAAATAATAAAATACAATTCAAACATACCAACGAATAGGAGTTATGGACAATCCTGGACACCTAGATACAACAATCGTCAACAATGGCAAAATAATTACATTTACAGATATCAAGGTAATTACTATCCAAGACATCAGAATAATTATGAACCAAGGTATCATTGTCAAGATAATTTTAATAATAGATTTTATAACGACAGAGGATATTACACACCAAGATAGTATAATAGATTTTCGAGATTTAAAAATAATTATAATAATAATTACAATTTTAATAAATATTATGATGAGCTCAGGTTTAGACCTAAATACAATGAATATCAACATTTCATCAGAATTTCGATCAATCACGTAACAATCGATAACAAAACTATGAGAACGATGAACAAAGATACAAGAATAAAGTTAATACAGTGAACATAGAAGAAATAAACAAGGAAAATAACGTAAAATCAGAAAACAAAGAAGTTGAGAAAATAAAAAACAAGGAATACAATCTATTCAGCTTGGATATCAACAATTTAAATGATAATAATAACAAAGAAAATGATGCGTATAAAGTCACGTTATATTTAAATGACATACCAACTGTGATGCAAATAGATACAGGATCGCGATTTACAATATTACCGATAAATATTGCAAGAAAGATTGGGATAAAGATCTTAAATAAATCAGATACTAAATTAACTGGATATGACGGAAGAACAATAAAAGTGATGGGCAATGCCAATGTAAAAGCCAAATACGATGATAAAACCAAAATTTTGAATGCATATGTAGTACAGAGTGACAAGATTGCACTCTTGGGAAGGACGTGTAATCAATTTGTGAATTTAGTAGAAGAAGATAACAACAAAGACATTCAAAAACTGATAGACGAATGTAAATCAAAAATAAATATGAAACCAATAAATCACAGCTACGTCAAACTACATTTGAAACAAAATGCAATACCAAAATTTATAGCACCAAGACGTGGTACAAACGTTATGATTTATTTACAAAAATGGATCGACGATAAAATAATAGAACCGGTGGATGTTGTGCGATGGGCAACTCCACTCACACCAGTTTTCAAAAAAGATGGTTCGCTAAGACTCTGTGCAGATTTCAAAAATACGATAAATCCAGCATTGGAAGATTTTAAATATCCTATACCACGTATCAACGACTTGATTGCAAAATTATCTAAAGGGAAGAAGTTTTCAAAAATAGACTTCAAGCAAGTGTTCCTTCAGATCCCTATACACAAAACATCGCGTGATTTACTTACAATATCGACACACAAAGGATATTACAGATTTAAAAGACTACCGTTCGGATTAAAAACTTCATCGGCAATTTTTCAACAATCAATGGACAAAATATTTGGTGATATGAAAAATGTTATTTTCTACATTGATGATTTATTAATCACGGGTGATAACGATCAAGATCATTTAAATAATATGAAAAAAGTTTTTGACCGAATTTCCAAATATGGGCTAATACCAAATTTCGACAAAAGTATATTTTTCAAAAAGAAATACGTTTTTTAGGACATGAGCAAACGGAGACAAAATCAAAGCAATTACAAACATGCCTAAACCAACAAACAAAGAGGAATTAGCAACATTTCTGGGCATGGCAAGTTATTACCGAAAATTTTTACATGACTTCGCAGACATAGCAGATTCCTTGTACAAAATAGTCAACAAAGATAAATGGATATGGGAAGAAACACATCAAAAGAGTTTCGATGATATAAAAGAATTAATAAGTTCTCCGCCAACATTAAATTTCTATAATTTAGAATTACCAATAGGCATAGCAACAGACGCTTCAAAAAAAGGCTTAGGAGCCGTGTTATTTCATATAGAGAAAGATGGTAAAGAAAAACCAGTAGCTTTCTCGTCACGAACTCTATTAAAAGCGGAAATAAATTATACGAACATCGAAAGAGAAGCATTAGCAATAATATATGCAATAAAAAAAATTCAGGAATACTTAATAGGCACCAACTTTAAAATCTACACCAATCACAAACCACTCATATACATATTTACTAAAGGATTAAAAGATAACAACACGATATCAATGAGACTTCAAAAATGGAACTTAGCAATGGGAGCTCATGATTTTACAATAATTCACAGACCGGGGAAATACAATATAGTACCAGATTGCTTATCTAGATTACCACAAATTAACTCCAAAGACATTGTACAAAATATAGAAAATGAGGATGTAAATAATGATTTATGGGATATACCAATAAACTTCAAAAGAATATCGAAAGAAACAAATAATGGTAAGGAATTAATGGAAATAATAAATACCATCAGGAATGGAGAATACATAAAGAATAAAACATATAAAAATATGGAAGTAGAAATAAGTTTGATAAAAGATTGTCTTTTTAAAGATAACCGAATCATCATACCTCACAAAATGAGAAAAGTGATATTAGAGGAACTTCATAAAGGACATTTAGGAGCTGGCAAAACTAAATTGTTAGCAAGAGATTATGTATGGTGGCCTGGAATAAATACCGAAATTGATCAAGAAATAAAAAATTGTGAAACATGCAACAAATGAGCAGATAATCCACACAACATACAAAATCCATGGCAAACAGCTACGAAAAATTTCGAAAGAATACACATAGATATAGCTCAATTTGAAGACAATAATTACATGATAATCGTCGATGCTTACAGCAAATTTCCCATAATTAAAAGAATGAAAAATATAACAACAGAATTGACAGTAATAGAATTAATGAAAATAATTAGCTTATTTGGAATACCACACATAATCGTAACCGATAATGGAACGAACTTCACAAGCTATTTGTTTAAAAAATTCTGTGAAGATCATGGTATCAAACACATACTTACAGCTCCACATCATCAACAGTCAAATGGACAATGTGAAAGAATGATAAGATCAATGAAAATGAACATGATAAGGAACATGAAAACCAACAAAAAAATAGATTTAGACATAGCTTTGGAAAAATTTTTGTTTAATTATAGAAACACACCTAACGCTACAACCAATATAACTCCGAACAAATTAATGTTTTCAAGAGATATTAGAACAAAATGGGACTTAGTTAAACCAAACATAGACATAAACAACGAAATTAATCGCAAAATATCATCAAATAGAACTATAGAAAAAGGAGATAAAATTTGGTACAAAACGTTTAAGAAAAACATTTGGGACATTTGCATCACAGTTGGTATGTCATTTAAATATAACGTGACTTTATACGCATCATTTTCTTTGTTATTATTATCATTTAAATTTTTGATATCCAAGCTGAATAGATTGTATTCCTTGTTTTTTATTTTCTCAACTTCTTTGTTTTCTGATTTGACGTTATTTTCCTCGTTTATTTCTTCTATGTTCACTGTATTAACTTTATTCGTGTATCTTTGTTCATCGTTCTCATAGTTTTGATATCGATTGTTACGTGATTGATCGAAATTCTGATGACGATAATGTTGATATTCATTGTATTTAGGTCTAAACCTGAGCTCATCATAATATTTATTAAAATTGTAATTATTATTTTAATTATTTTTAAATCTCGAAAATCTATTATACGATCTTGGTGTGTAATATCCTCTGTCGTTGTAAAATCTATTATTAAAATTATCTTGACAATGATACCTTGGTTCATAATTATTCTGATGTCTTGGATAGTAATTACCTTGATATCTGTAAATGTAATTATTTTGCCATTGTTGACGATTGTTGTATCTAGGTGTCCAGGATTGTCCATAACTCCTATTCGTTGGTATGTTTGAATTGTATTTTATTATTTGTTTATTTGATTCTCTCTTTTCATCTTTTTCTTCTTGTACTAACTTTATCGTCGAAGTTGATGCTGCTTCACCTTCTATTTTTATATTATCCATTTTAATATTTATATTTTCATAATCATCCTCATCATTTATCTCTCTCCCAATTCTTAATATGTCTGTAATGGTTATATTTTCTAATTTCGATATCTGCTCCCGAATTTTTTTATTACTTGACGATATTTTTATCTTCTCAATTATTTTCTCTTGATCCTTAAAATTGCATTTATTATTCAACTTACATAGTCTAGTTACCCATTTACCGAATGTTTCCCCTTTATTTTGAACGGCTGCGTTAAATTCCGTTTTGTACGTGTCTATTGATTTATCGGGATGTATTAGCCTGTATTTTTCCAGTAAAGTTTTCAAATCGTTGTAATCAGATGGAACGCAAATGGATTCCAGGTCCAAATAGTCTTCTTCTGGTAATCTTTGAATGAACGCATTAGCCTTTTCTGCCTAGGGAACCTGCGTGTCCTATAATAAATTTTCAAACTTTTTAATGTATATCTATGTTGTTGTTGAATGTAGGATATTCTACATTACTCTTTACATTTGATAACGATTTTGTCATGATAAATTTATAAAATATTTTATTGTTACCTTTATTTAATTTATATAATTTACAATAATTGTTCTATAATGATTAAAATTTTTCATATCTTTTAGCATTTATAATAAATTTGTTTCCTTCATCATCTTCAGCTTGTTGACCGTTTATTGAGTCGTAAACTTCTTGCCACCTTCAATATCGTCATAATAAGCAACGTGAACGTAATTGTTTGATGTATGTATGGTATATTTTTTATAAATCTGATAGTATATTTGGACGGTGTTAAAAAAATAATCATATATCTGGCTCTTTGGAACGACGCTGCCACCATTTTAATTTAATGGAAGGCAACGGGAGATCTCTTCTTTGATTTTAAAATCTAATTTTATTATTTATATCTATATACAAAATTCTTGTCATTATATACATTTTTTATAACAGCGAATTTACATGTTAACAAAGTCATATGTCCTTTACAATTTCATTTTGCGTTACCAATTTTTTTTTATCTTTTATTACACTGACTTTTTAAACTAAAAAAATAATATTCAATTTTAATCTTAATTTGGTCATATTTAACAATTAGTATCCAAAATAAAACCCATCATTATCAAATGCATATTTGTAAAGGCACTAACTTCGAATCGAAGGAGCAAAGATTAACTAGCGGGAGATCATCTTGTACAATCAAATATAAATTCGAGTTGGGAATGTAGGTAATGAAAATTCTGTGTAAAATTTAAGGAGTTATTATGTAAATATTCTTAATATGGTAGTAAAAACAATTTTAATATCAAAATAATGAATCGGTTTTAAATTCAACAATAATTATTATATTAACATATCCATTATGAAAAAAAATGTAATTATTGTAAAATAACTTATAAAGGCATTTCGAAGATTCATTAATATTTAGAGAGAAAACGTTAGATGACAAGGATTGAATATAAGAATGATTGACGGCATATAAAGTAATCTGTTTAATACAGTTATATGTATGCTTCCCATTCTGTTTTTCAGTAGTAGATTCCGTGTTTTGAAATTCAAAATGCTTTTTTCATTTTATAATGGAATAAAAAATGTTAGAATAAAATTATTATAATCAATTTTTTGCTTCACACTTAACAAACATACATTATTTAGAAATAAACTGATTTTCATAAAACATTTATTTAAATAATAAACTAAATCAGTGATATTCATGGGATGGTGACAGGATTATGCTTTATTTGAATATACAAAAATAATAAAATTAATTACCAAAGGACTATTGGAGTCTTCAACACACACGGCTTGAAAATCGGTTGAGAAAAAATGATATATAATTCGCATTCGACTAAGATGATAAAATAAAAGTGGTTCATTGGTTTCCAAATACAAATTTTCATATAAATCATTTTCACTATTCGAAATTGTGTGCGATGAAAAGTTTGGGTGAATTACTATTTGGGTTGAATTGTTGATTATAATACAGCTATATTTTAAAAAATATATGTGTTCAATTATTTTAAATTAAGATTGATTATCAGATCAAATTTATATTTATAAAAAAGGAAAATAGGCCTAAATTTAACCAAAAAATTAGCTACAGCTTCGTAATTACTAAAGTTATATTAAACCTAATAGTGCAGCTAGTAGTGGGGTCAGATGGGCAAGGGTAAATAGAATTACAATGTCTATCAGGAGATAGTTTCTTCTTTATTGTTTGATAGAGCTGATCTCTTAAAGAATCAAATATAACATTAATTCCTGCTACAGCATGTGTTATTGAATTAGCGCACCAGGAACCTAAATAACAATATTTAGAATGACAATCACTGTTCCTTTTGCAAGAACATCCATCGTTGCTAATAATGTCTCGATCATTATAGTTTCTGTCATGATCTTATAAATAAAATTATATTATAGAAAGAAAATTGCCGTTCACTCATTTACTATATTAAATAATTGAAATAAAAAAATTTTTTTTTATTATTTAATGCATGGTGCATACCTATATTACATTGCGGCTTTCCAAGCATTATGGCTCTGGATATTGTCAGGATTCGGTAAGAATTTACTTTGAAATATGTCTTAAACATTGGACTGATAACGTTTTTACCGATATTTAATAGAGCTTTATTAAACCAGGCTTGTCTAAATTTTAAATATATGATAATGTAATATGATAAACTATTGTTATTTTAAAAAATAGTCTTATAAAATATATATTTCTTTCCTAAAGCTTCAATTATAATATATCATCCCTATTCACCATCATAATGATTCTTATCATCAAACATGTCATAGTAAAAAAAAATTGCGACATCCGGTAGACATTGAATAAAAGAAATATAACTTTAATTTTGGCAATATAAAATTACATTTATTAAACACGCAACTAAATCTTCTCTATTTTACACACATCTTTCGTAACCCTTTCTTTCATATCCAGAGAGTTCTTCCATTTTGGGTTAAAAGAGACAGTTAAATCATTTCCATGATTCATTTTATCCAAGTCAACTCCATTGCCGATATCCAAGGAAAGGCTATATTTATAACATTACCACCCTGTTCCTTTCATTCACTTATTACAAGACATCCCATTAAACTAGTACGACTTTTGTTATTCAATTCCTTGTACCATATGTACATAAATAAATATGGCAACCTTTGTCAATCATAAATTAGTGCGCCTTATAACATTTTATGCGCTTTGAATAATTGCATAGGTACCTGTAGTAATGAACTTGAACAGATCTTAATGTAACCCCAGATCCACCTCACAATTTCATTATCCTTGGAAGTGTTGACTACCATTCAAGTCTTCAAGAATATTGACAGTATTGCATAGTGGAGTGTATACCTTATCAATTAATCTATTCTAAATCTGCATTTTCCGAAACTTAGTTTGTATTTGTCTAATAATGAAAACCAAGTGCGTCATTCTCTTACTGGACTGAAACTAAATTGTACTTACAGGACTGAAACTAAATTGTATCTATCGGTCTATCACTTCCATTCCGGGCTATTTGATTTTTATTAATGATTAAATGGCGTTTGAAATCTTTAATCATAACTATTTTTTTAAATAATTCGACAAATTATTATACTTTGTTTGGAAATGGCCTTAGACATGAATAGTTATTTCATACACAATTATGTTACAGAGGGTTTCGAACTGTTAAGTATAGCGGTTCGGTTCATTTAGGTTTTTAGTTAAAAAAATTAATAAAGGTTTTGTTCCATTTCGGCTTTTTTGAAAAAATTCATATCGGTTCGGTTTATAATTTATAATGGTTTTTTTCGGTTTGTTTCGGTTTTTAATTTGATTATAAATAAAATTAATCATAAACCATATATATTAATCTTGGAGAAAAATCTTTTTAATTTATATTTTTATAATTTCATATTTAATTTAACTATGATATTCTAATAAATATTCTTATTAAACTTAGTAAGTATAAATTAGACAAATTAATTTTTCTTTATTTCATAAATAAATAAGCCTGTCCAAAAATGTTATGAAAAAATCCTTAGAATTTTAAAATTTTCGCAAATTAATAAAAAAAACATTTTAGACACATTCAAGTTTTATAAAAATTAAAATATAATTGATATGATTCAATTATTAGTTATTATATGTAAAAATTTAAGTGTATTTATTATTATATATTACCTAGTTATTAAACTTTGTATGAACTTATTATTTGATAATGGTTATATTTAAATATTATTTATATACTTAATAAATAAATATATGTTGAATAATTGTATCAATATTTAATAAATATTTAAAAACCAATAATAACTATAAATTATTATATTTGATATATAATAAAATTGTAATAGAAATAATATAATATAAAAATAGGGATAATTTACGTAAATGAGGCTAGATTTTCACAAAATAGTTTTTTAAATTTAAAAATATCTTTTATTGACATGGCCTTATATAATGTACAGAAATTACAGTATCATCAAAAGAATCAATAGATATATTTTGCCCAGTATTTATATCATTAAGTGGGTTAGTAATTGCATTAAGATATGATGCAGCCTATTAAAATATATTAATTTTATATTCCCCAGATGGCAATTTTCAGATTCTTAAAATATAAAATTATTTTTTATTTTTGTCTTTTAATATTTTACATTTGTCTGTGGCAATTTAACTTGACTTAGATTATTTGGTAATGTCATCAACATTTTCTTTTAACCACAAATATTGTTCAACATATAGTAGATCCTTTATATTAATATCATCAGCACCTTAGATTAAAATATTTTATAATTTATACATATGATTTTTATTTATATGTTGGGTGAGAGCATATAATTTATTAAATTTAGCTACAGCTAAAAATTTCTTCTTCACTTAATCATAATTCAAGTTATATGTATTTCCTATTTCTTCCCAAATTTTATCTTCAACAGAATCTCTAAATTTTAAGTCATTTTTGCATCAGAGGTTCCTGTACTCTCTTATGCTTTTCATAAAATTATTTTCTGACACTAAAAAATATATTTATAATATAAATAAATGGCTATACTTTGGGCTAGTAAATTTATAAAAATGGTCAGTATTATTTAAAAATTGTACTTACTAATTTTTTTATAAAATTTCCCAAATAAATAAATTTTCAAGAAATTTTTATTCGAATTTTTTTAATTTTTATTATTTTTTTAAAAAAGATAAATTTTTATAAATACCGAAAAATGATATAGGACACTATTTTATTTTTATATTAAAAATAGCTTATGTTATTTTTTTCTTCAAAATTTATTTATTTATATTTTTTAGATTTTGACACAGCCTAAGATAAAACAAACATGCGCAAATACAATGAGGAATAAAATAACGCATAAATATAATGAAATTTATACTATTTATGTTTAAAAAGAGAATAAGAACAATTAGCTACAATATTTTTTAATATTTCTGGATTTAATTGCGCAGAGAGTATAAACTTAAGGCTAGAAAATGCTCTTTCTATGGATACCTACGTAGCTGGAACTGCTAGCACAGTTAAGCTAACTTATAAAGTTCTGGCATACTATTCTTTAAATTTTCCCAATAATTCAAAAGATTAGTATCTTTTTCTAATCTTTCTATATTATCAAATGACCGAATTATATATTCTATTTCTATACATTTATTATAATTTCTATGCCCTGAGAATTATTCTTATTTAGGCTTTCATGCGACTTTAATAAATCTTCAAAATCATCATCTAAATTATCTTTCGAATATAAACAGGTAGGCATAGTATCTAGAATTTCAATATTCTGATTATTTAAATTTAGTATTAAGTTTCAAGTTTTAGAAAGATGTTTTGATGTTTTTTTGGCGATCTCTTTTTAGATTATATCTGATCTAATTAACTGGTATTTTGTCTAATCTCTATTAAATTGAGTATTTAAAGTAAAAACAATAAACTTGGTATTGATTGATATGTAGATAATATAAAAAAGTTTAATTTGAAGAAATCACGAATTTAAAAATTGCCCCCAAGGAAAATTAAAATTTCAAATTTAGGTTAATAATTTAAAATTAATTATTTTTTAAAACCGTTTTGAACCGGTTTTAAATATTTATAACAGCTCGGTTCGCTCTTTTTATATTTTTTTTATAATGGCTTGGTTATGGTTACGGATCAGAAAATTATAACGGTTCAGTGCGGTTTGGTTCGAAAACCTGGTTGCAGAAGTCTGTGAGTCATTCACCAAATTTTTAAATTGTCTTCTTCATTCCCATTACCGCTCTAGTTGAACCGTCTACATTACATTTCTTCATCTTAGCTATCACAAGTTTTAATGTTATTATTCGTTCTCAAAAATTTTTTATGACATCTTTAAAACTATTTTCATGGCATTCCACTTTGTCTCCTTACAGATCGATTTCCTTTCTGATTTTGACAAATCTCCCATATTTCTTCTCATATGAAAAATTATGTTTTGATTGACGGCATTCTGTCCAGTCACCAACCTTCATTGTTGACTTTTTTCGTGAGTTCTAGCATTTCATTAATATTTGAAGAACTTCATCCGATGTTGTGGTAGTGCTTCAATTTTTCTCTTCGCCTTCCGATCTATTCTATGCTTCATATTTTCTTTAACTTTTATTTGCACCTCCAACTATAAGATATTCAACAATTAAGATGTTAACTCTTCTCTTGTAAATGTGATTATCGCTACAATTTTATCCGTGAGGCCAATAAGTAAATGTGTTCCTAAAGAGCGCTAATTTCATGATTTAACAAAAGATTTTAAGGCCCAATATTTCTAATAGCAAAATTAAAGCACTCTAAACCCCTTCATCAACACTGAATCCAACAGTCCATTCAGGTAGCTACACATAACAAATCTCCCTAAGCACGATGGATGAAATCCCCTTGACTTAAAGACCTCAAATAATTTTTCGGCTCCAGCCGGCCACGATTTGGTGGAAACTTAATTTGAAGTTGCAATAAAACTTCAAAATATATATCATACTTTATTTTAATGTAATAAAATAAATTTAAATATTCAGCAACTTTGTTAATATAAAGATGTTTATTTATTTTATTCCATTAATATGATATAAAAAGGAATAGTAAATATTTTCCAATTCCTGATTTTTTAAAAACATTTACAATTTTTTAAATTCATTTTATAATTGTGATATTCAATCAGGCAAAAAAAATGAAGATTAGGAATAATAATATTTTTCGGGACACAACTGTACGGTGTAACGTTGTAGAATGACTGTGATTCGTAAATTCGCATTTATATCGCTCTAATAATGACTGTGATTCAGAGTGCCGCAGTCATTGTACTACAATAGTAACATGCGAAATTTCAAATATGGAAGAAGAAAATTATAATAATTTATTAATTGGTCTAAATATCATGAAATATTGACTACTATTCTTGGTTATTATTCCCTTTGCCCTATTTTTTTCTGCAAATGAATTATGTATAAAAGTGACGAAGCTTTCATAGAAGCAAGGCATTGCTTCCCTTGAAGTTTTTCCTACAAAATTCTTAAATAAACTTAATATAATCTTTATATGTTAAAAACTAATCTGACTTCGTTAAAAAAATTAATATAATTTTTAAAACGTTTAAAATATTAATATTATTTTTACTACGTTAAAAAATTTACTATTATATTT